GCAGGAGGCGCAACAGCGCATGGGTAAGCAAGGCATGGGCAATGGGGCCTAGGGCGGGAGGTCAAGGGAGGCTTCCTGGAGGAAGGCAGATACTGGAGTTCCGAGGCCAAGAAGTCAACCTCGTGCAGTGCTGAGGAGGAAGATGCAGGCAGGGGAACCGCAAGTGCCAAGGTCCTGGGGTGCAAATGAGAGTGGTGTGTTTCAGAGCAGCAGGACTCTGGGGCCAGGCCGTGCGGAGCCTTTCCAGAAGGCAGGAGCGTGAGCTCTTTCCAGTTGTCTAGGAGCCAAGGCAGGGTTTTACACAGAGAAGTCCCAGGCCTGTTTTGACGTGATTGCTTCAGCCATTACTGGTGTGGGAAGTTGGGGAGATGATCAGGGACTTTATGACCAGGTCCTGGTGCAGCTCGAAGACAGTGGGGTTCAGGCAGCAAAGGGCGGCAGATACCCGGGCACAGGTGTGTGGTGCAAGCTGCTTTGGTTTCCAAGGCTAGCCCCCTGGGCCCCGCCCCCACCCCTGCCTTTACAGTCTGATCCAGCCCCATTTTGGAGGTGCACATGTGGGAACACTTCTGTCCCCTCTGCACACAGCCCTGCTGACACTTCTTCCACTCAACAGGGATTCAACAGGGCCCTGGCAGCTCACACTTGGAATCCCACCTACTCAGGAGGCTGAGATTTAGAGGATTATGGTTTGAAGCCAGCAGGGACAGGAAAGCCCAGGATACTCTTAGCACATCTGGTGAAAGCTCATCAGTACCACCCCCGCACACCACGCATTCCTGGGGGGGAGGAGTAGGGGGATGAGTTTGGCTGGACGTCTATTCAAAGGTTTGGGGCTGTCAGGACATCGCCCAGTGGCCGCAGGGCCGCTCTTCGCTGCGGCCACACTGGGCAGAGGGAGGGAGCGCCAGCAGACACGGATTTCCCATCGGCCCGACCTCCGTCCTCCCCACTCCTCCTGCGTCCTCCCCCAGTAAACACCACAGCCAGGGGAGCAGTGGGATTATGTTGGCGTCTGCATGCCAGGGTGGCCGTGAAGCCCCCAAAATGGTGCTGGGGGGGGCCCCATGCTGGTAGGTCAAGCCTATCATCCTGATGACTGGGGAGGCTGGGAACTGAGGGTCAGAGCTCCTAGCCAGCCTAGGCAGGAAAGTCTGTGAGACTCATCTCCAGTGGGCCGTCCACAAGCAGGAGTGGAGCTGTGGCTCAAGTGGTGGAGTGCTGGCCTTGAGCAAAAATAAAGCTCAAGGACAGAGCCTAAGCCCCGAGTTCGTGCCCCAGGACCAGCACACACAAAAAGCAAACTAAGGTAGGTATGGGAGAGGCGTCTCTTATGTGTTCTGATGCAACACTTGTTGGAATAAGGGTAGACACAAACCACGCCACCAATGACGATCACGGCGGTGCGGGACCCGCCAACCCCGCCACCAATGACGATCACGGCAGTGCGGAACCCGCCAACCACCCCACCAATGACGATCACGGCAGTGCGGAACCCGCCAACCACCCCACCAATGACGATCACGGCGGTGTGGGACCCGCCAACCACCCCACCAATGACGATCACAGTGGTGCGGGAACCGCCAACCACCCCACCAATGACGATCACGGCGGTGTGGAACCGCCAACCACGCCACCAATGACGATCACAGTGGTGCGGGACCCGCCAACCACCCCACCAATGACGATCACAGCGGTGTGGAACCGCCAACCATCCCACCAATGACGATCACGGCGGTGTGGAACCGCCAACCACGCCACCAATGACGATCACAGCGGTGTGGAACCGCCAACCATCCCACCAATGACGATCACGGCGGTGTGGAACCGCCAACCACGCCACCAATGACGATCACGGCAGTGCGGGGACCCGCCAACCACCCCACCAATGACGATCACGGCAGTGCGGAACCGCCAACCACCCCACCAATGACGATCACAGCGGTGCGGGACCCGCCAACCACCCCACCAATGACGATCACGGCGGTGCGGGACCCGCCAACCACCCCACCAATGACGATCACAGCGGTGCGGGACCCGCCAACCACGCCACCAATGACAGAATCCGCAGCCACTGACCTGCACCCGCTCTTTTCTCTGCTCCCCGGTCTCTGTCAACCCCTCATGTCTTGGCCTGTGCTCCCGGTGAAAGAATAAGCCTGGTTGTCTGGCCCTTTGCTCACTCTCGGTGGCAGGGGATTGATGAGTTCTGCTTTGTAGCTGGACGTGCCGAGAGGGCCCTGACCCATTCTCCATCGGTTCTTCGGCTCGCCACCCTCCCTCCCTGGGCCCGGCCCACACCCTTGCCCACTCACTCCTCCGTCCCTCCTTCAGCTCCCACGCACTACCCACCTTTCCACTCACCCACCCACGTTCCAGCCGTCTGCATCCACTGGCCCGTCTACCCATCCCAACACCCACACTACCCACCTCCTCGCTCACCCCGCCCTCCCAGGGCCTCTCCAGTCACCCTCCCTCCCCACCACGTGCTCACGCACCCATCCTTCCCTTCCTGCACCCCCCAGCTGGCCCTCCTCTGTGCCCAGGCCTGGTGGGGTCTCTCAGGCACCCCCCCTGGGAGAAGTGCAGGTGTGGTTGAAGGTCCCCACAGAGGCAGCAAGCGGCTCTGTCTTCCAGGAATCAGAGCCACTGCCCTGCAGGGTGTGTGGCAAACACTGAGGAATGCAGGCACCGGGGAGGTCCCGCCCTCCCGCAGAGCAATGGAAGAGCCACGAATAAAAGGTGAGTCAGCAAAGGGAGGGAAACAGGGCTGACAACACATTCTACGCATGGAAGGGGACAGTTCAAAGTCCAGAGGCCCCCTGGGGCCTCCTCTCCTTTCGGCGGGGTCCAGCCCTTCCTGACTTCACCCCCTTCTCTGGGACCCCTCCCAACCCGCACTCCCCTTTCAGAATTCTCCACACTCCTCACAGAACAAGTGCTCCCCAGATGAGGCCCAGTGTGCTCCTCCCCGAAGCCAACCTGGCTGTCCAGGCCCAGCAGCTCCGCTCAAGCAGAGGCCACATGGTTCCACTATGATGGTGTCTTAATAGACTGCGGTTACTTCCACCAATGCTACAGGAAAAGAGAACTCCTCCTTAAAATAGCAAGGCACCACCGCGGCGCTGCTCCTGAAACACCGCTCATTAACCACAATTACACCCAGATCGAGGACCGGGCCAGGCGCGCGCAGCTCTCGGTCTGGAGACAGCAGAAGCTGCCACCAGCAGCTTTGGGGGAGGGGTGGGCCCTGGGTGAGACCCTCCTCCTCCCTCCCTTGGGACCCTCGCCCTCTGCAGGTCCACCAAGGAGAAAGCAGAGTGGGAAGCAGGGAGGCCCGGGCAGCTCAGCACTCGCTGGGCTCATGGAGAAGGGGAGGAGAGGCAGCTCTGCCCTCCCCCCCTCCCCTGGGGTGATACCCACCCCAGCCCAACGGGCTTGGAATTCAAGGGTCCAGACTGAAGCATGCAGCCACTGCAGTACAGCAGCGTCGAGAAATGAGCTGAAGTTTAAAAAGTGAGTCTGCTTAAAGGAGACTATTTAAGCAATAGTTAAAATAGAAAAGAAAAATTTTAGAAAAGGACAGCAATGCTAAACACACAGTTGATGAGCTCAACCTAAGAAATTCCAGCATCCAGCATCCGCTAACACCTCTGCAGCCCTAACCTCCCCCGCCCGGCTGACTGGCCCATTCAGCTCGCCTTTCTCTGGGGTGTGTGTGTGTGTGTGTCTGTCTGTCTGTCCTGAGACTTGAACTCAGGGCCTAGGCACCATCCCTGAGCATTTGTGCTCCAGGCTGGTACTCTATCACTTGAGTGTACACCTTCACTTCTGGCTCTTGGGTTTTTAATTAGATGTAAAGAGTCTCATAGATTTTCCTGCCTGAGCTGGCTTCTAACCACAATCTTCAGATCTCAGCCTCCTGAGCTTATTAAAATAGAAAAAGACCAGAGAAAGGGAAAAAATAACGTAAAGATGAAAAAGAGGGCAGGTTTAAATTGAATCGCTGTCCTCAGTCTCCTCCTGAGCTGCCTGGGAGGGGAGACCGTGTTTTCCATGAGTAACTACCTCATGATCCAGGCTCTAACTGGGGTGGGGCCCTCCCCTCCCTTCCCCTCCCCCAGAGGTAGGTGAACCTGTCCCTGCTCCCCAGCCTCTACGGGGGAAGTCGAGGGCTTCCCCGGCGCACCGGGGCTGCAGCCCAGAGTGCGCAATGGAGCTGTGCGGAGATCTCATGCAGCTATTTCTGCTGGCTGGCTGCCCTCTCTCCCAGCCACGGGGAGGCGGCTGAGCGTTGCCATGGAAACCGGCTGTCCTCCCACAGGAGGCTGCCAGCTCCGATTTCCTGCAGAGATAAGAAGCAGGCGGCGGTGGCGGGGTCACCCGGGCGTGAAGATGGGTTTCCCTGGGGATATCCAGGCTCCTGCCAATCACTGCTGTCTGGGAATCCTGTCCGCCCCCACCTCATCCCGCTCCCCCCACCAGTACCAGTGCCAATGCCATTTATTCCAAGAAGAGAGGAGCTTCTAGAACAATCGGTGCCTCAGGACCTCCTGTCCCCCAGCGAAAGCTTTGTTCTGTGTCTGTGTCAGTAGCATACAAGCATAGCTCAGGTGGGAGCTCAGGGCTGGGAGGAGGCCTTCTCGGGGTGTGCAGCCAGTGGGACATAGAGGGAGGGGACAGGGGTTACCCCAAAGGATCCTTTGGCTTTTTATTTTTTATTTTTTTTGCAACACTAGAGTTTGAACTCAAGAGCTGCACTTGCTAGACAGGCACTCTTACCACAAGCTACACTTCCAGCCCTGATTACTGATGGTTATTATTATTATTGCCAGTCCTAGGGCTTGAACTCAGGGCCTGGGCACTCACTGTCCCTGAGCTTCCTTTGTTCAAGGCTAGTGCTCTACCACTGGAGCCACAGCGCCACTTCCAGCATTTTCTTTGTATGTGGTACTGAGGAATTGAACCCAGGTCTTCATGCATGTGAAGCAAGCACTCTTCCGCTGAGCCACACTCCCAGCCCTGCTGGTTATTTTTGAGATAGGGCTTTGCTTCCTGCCTGGGCGTGCCTGTACCTGGAGAGAGATCTACCCGTGACAGGCTTTCCTGATGGCCAGGAGTACAGGTATGTACCGCCACATTCGGCTCTTTATTGAGATGGGGTAACATCATTTTTTTTTTCTTTTTTTCTGCCCAGACTATTCTCAAAAGGGCTAGGATTACAGGCCTGCGCCACGCATGGGCTTGAGCTACTTTGATACTCAGGGGCCAGGCAGGAGCTGGCATCAGCTGGGTGGGGTAGGGTCTGGCCGCTGGGAAGGGCCAGGACGGTGATGCTCTGGGGTTGGCCTCCAGCCTCCAGGCCTGGATTCAGGCAGGAGAGAGGAGGCCTCGCAGCACCAGCCTCGGCTTTGGGTGGCTTTTGTGCTCAACCCCTCTACCTCCGCTCTGCCCTCAACCCCTCGTCTGGACAAGCGTTCTGGAGAAAAGCAGGGGAGGAGGCCACGCTGGGGCAGATGCTGGAGCGGCTGGTGGAGGCAGGTGTGCGGTCACTGCCGGGAGCGGTACCGGACGGACACGTCTTGCCCGGGCTGCAGCAGGCCGAAGCCAAACCTGCCAAGGTCAAACTCGGGGATCTCGGTGTCGGCGCTGCCCAGCTCCAGGTCGAAGTGTGTCAGCAGGAGGACCACGAACCTGCAGAGAGAGGGTGTAGATGGCATCTCTGGGTGGCCAGGGCCTGGGAAGGCAGTGGCAGTGGCATTTAGGGGTGTGCTCCCCCGCAGCCTGTGTGTCTGCCAGGCCGCGAGGCAGCTCCCTAGGGGGTGGGGGGTGCAGCCCTGTTGGGAGGGAGCCCTGCGCCCCCACCCCTGTATGCACCTCACCCTGCCGGCTCCTGGCGCAGCAGGCAGCCCTCCTCCCCCCTCCCTTTCCCCAAGCCCCCACTCTAGGCCAGGGTGGTGAGATGAGAAACACACCCCCCCTCCCCCGACTTCCTCCAGGCGTGTTACAGCCTCACGTGGCAAAACCCAGCAGCGTGGTCCAACTGCTCAAGACTAGCGCTCTCTACCGCCACCTTCTGGACAAGCATCTCAGGAAGCGGCCCCGCTGCCACTGGAGATGATGTCATCTGTGTCCCCTGCCAGGCTGACAGCTTCTGCCTGCCCTTATTGCTCCCCACTGCAGGAGCACCCCAGGCCTGGGAGTGGGGCACCTTTTACTTCAGTGTCACACCATACCCTCACAGGGGCCAGAGGCAGGACCAGCACAGCGGGGTCTCTTCCCCCTTTCAATAAACCTGGGGACAAGCCGGTGCCGCTGGCTCACACCTAGCTACTCAGGAGGCTGAGATCTGAGGATCGCAGTTCAAAGCCAGCCTGGGCAGGAAAGTCCGTGAAACACTTATCTCCAGTGAATCATCAGAAAACTGGAAGTGGCGCTGTGGCTCAAGTGGTAGAGCGCTCGCCTTGAGCTGAAGAGCTGAGGGACAGCGCCCAGGCCCAGAGTTCAAGCCCCATGACTGACAAAAAAACAACAAAAATAATAAACTGGGGTAGGGAGCAGCTGCCCCCTGGACGCAGGTCACATGACCCTCCGTGGGCTTTGTTCCCTCCGTGGGCGAGGAGGATGTCCCCTTTCCAGCTCCTAGTGCAGACCTTGGAGGGCCACATCTGGATTTGAATCCTGGCACCTCCTCTAGTGGACTGCATGACCGTGATGGCAAGGGATCCAACCAGTCTAGCCTGGTTCTGACTGACAGCCACCTGGCATGGTGGTAGGGACCACCGAATACAACGAACAAGCTAAGTCACTGAAAACAGCCGTGCCGGCACCACACTGAGTGAGCGCAGGACCCATCATCCCCTTCCAGCCGCCCCAGCCCCGCAAGGCTTCGGTCTGCGGACTTCACTGGGCCTGATGATTTTTAGGCACACGTGCGCTGCTCAGCCCAGAACCAACTGTATCATGACTTTCTCTTCACTGTGGGAACAGTAAAGGCCAACCTACCCCCTGGCGCGGGGCTCGCCTGTCAATAACACAGCAACCTTCACAGCTAACAGTAAGCAAACTTGCGGTGACCAGGCAGTGGTTCGGCTCCCAGAACGTTACAATCTGTTTATCTTGACACCCCTTGGGTGTAGTTACGATCAACCCCCTCACTTCACAGTGGAGAAAACAGAGGCTCTAGGGAACCCAGCTTCTGAATACTCAAGAGACAGACGGAGCACTGGGGCAGGTGTCCTGACCCTGGGTACCTGTGGCCGTGAGCCTGGGTCTATGGCTCTTGAAACAGAATTGACGAGGCTCTCAGCCCTGGCTCCCAGCCTTGGGGTTAAAACAGCCTAGAACAAGCCAGAACAGCAAGTAGCTGCCCGTGTGTGGAGAGCTGTGGCCAGCGGGGCAGCGTGTCCAGGGCTGGTATCCCACACTACTTCTGCAGGGAAGAACCTGCTGCCAGATCTGGTTATGCCAAAAGACATCAGAAGTCTGGCTCATCACATGAACTCTTCTCATTTTTACAAGTACCACAGGTTTCTAAAGTACAAATAAATAGATTTGTGGGCAGGAGAAAGCTATCTGCTGGTTTGGCTTCAATGCCATAAAACATTTGCCCCAAGACCTCTGTATCCAGGGAGAAGCCTATCAGATGAGCAAGACAGCCCTGCCCCTGGACCACGCCCACACCTCACGCCCCTCCTCCCCCCCCCAGGCCAGGGTCAAGCCCACTCACAGCCACACCAGTGTACTGCCCCACTGCCACGCCCCTGGCCTTGCTTACTGTTTGATGCTGTAGACTGCATAGCTCTTCCCCAGGCATTGATTGTGCCCCGCTCCCCATGGCATGTTGTAATTCTTCAGCCGCTTCCCATCCTTGTAAAATTCTTTCTTCTCTGATCCATCTGGGTTCAGGAATCGATTGTATTTAAACACCTGAAATGGGAACAAGGTCCTTTTCAAACCATACTCCCAAACAAGGGTGCCCCAAGCAAACTACCTGAGGATGGAAATTACAGTCACGTCCCTGGGAGGGACGATGTAAAGGTCAATTGGTGTAGGCTAGCTGAAATCTGACAGGAAAGAATTCCTATAGCTGCCGGTTGGTGAGAAGGGACAGCTTCAGGCAGCACAGACTGTGTGGGCCTGTACACCCACCTGTGTGTGTGTGTGTGTGAGAGAGAGAGAAAGAGAGAGACCAGTGTGCTGTGTGTCAAGGAAGATATAAAAACAGCATAAAGACACTCCAAACCAGGCAACTATAGAACTGGAGAGGAAAGGATATGCTATCTTTTTTGCTTTATATATTCCTATTCTCCTATTGTATAAGTATGTGCTGTTTTTCTAACATACAATAAAACCTTTCTTTCTTCTTTTTGCCAGTCCTGGGGCTTGAACTCAGGGCCTAGGCACTGTCCCTGAGCTCTCTGTGCTCAAGGCTAGCACTCTACCACTTGATTCACAGTACCACTTATGGCTTTTTCTGTGTATTTGGTAGTGAGGAATCGAACCCAGGGCCTCATGCATAGCAGGCACTCACTCTACCACTAAAGCCACATCCCCAGCCCCCAAGAAAACTTTTTGAGTATGGGGTTGGCACGGAGTAAGAGGTGAGTGAGTGGAAGCTGGGCAGAGGGACAAATGAGGGGAGCAGCAGCTAGACTGACAGACAGGGGAGCTGGATGGATGGGTGGATGGACAGGTGGATGCTGGACATGTGGGTGGACAGAGTGATGGGTAAATGGGTGTGTCAGTGGATGGATGATGGATGTGGATGGTTGGATGGAAAATGAATGACAGATGATGAATCGGTGGGTGGGTGGAGGGATGGGTGGACAGGTGGATGGTGAATGGATGGGTGGATGGTGTGCAAATGGACGATGGAGAGGAGCAAATGTGTGGCAGCACAGGACCTGGAGTGTTAGTACGCGGCACCAAATCTGTTAGCAGTTGTGAACATTTGCTCCACCTCAAAATCTAGGAAGGAGGAAAAAACGTTGGAAACTGATGTAACGGGGAAGAGGGAGAGGAGGGAACCTCCCAGCTGCGCACTGGGAAGGCTCCAGGCATGCTAGGAAGCCATTTCCTTACATGGTCTCAAGTAACCTTCCCCCCAGGCCTCCGTCCACAGGTGAGGGAACAGAGGGGTGCCATGCAGTGAACACAACGCACGGCCGGGCTGGTCTCCGTGTCGCCCAGCACCCCACAACCCAGTCCCTCAGATGATCGGTAGCCCCTGCCATTTACCTCAGGGTCCGTGTGGATTTCTGGGTCCCTCTGGGGACTCAGGAAAGGGAAGAGGAGGAGACGGTCACCCTGGCGCAGAGAGAATTCCCGCCCATCTGCCAGGGGCAGGGCCATGTCAGCCAGGACCTCCCTGGTGATGAAGGGCGCGGCTGTGAGCCTGAGGCTCTCGTTCAGCGCACTGTCTGCAGGAGTGAGCACAGGAAGGGGTCAGCCAAGGGTGGCACGCCCCACCCTACTTTACGGAGATGAGGGGGACGTTCAGAGAGGATGTATGCCTTGCCCACAGCTACCCAGCAAGGTGGAAAAGGACAGGGGATGAAGCTGGAGCTCTGTGGTCTTCCAGCAACCCTTCCACGTGAAGGGATCCTGATCTGAAGGCAGCAAGGTGGCCACCGGTGAGGAGTCAGGATGCAGCCAGAGCAGGCCCATCCCTGGCCGCTCCTCCTGCCTGACGTACATCCTCTTTCTTTCTTTTTTGTTGGTCGGGGGCATGAACTCAAGGCCTGGCCTCTGTCCCTCAGCTCTTCAGCTTAAGGCCAGCGCTCTACCACTTGAGCCACAGCGCCACTTCCGGTTTTCTAGTGGTCCATCGGAGATCAGAGTCTCACAGACTTTCCTGCCAGGGCTGGCTTTGAACCGCACCCCTCAGATCTCCGCCTCCTGAGCAGCTAGGATGACAGGCGTGAGCTACCTGTGCCTAGCTGAGTTTACTCTTAACTGATGGAAGTAGCCTTTGATTGCCCAATCAGAGCATCCCTCTGGACCCTAATGGGCTCAGGATGGGCCAATGAGCCACACTCTTGGGAGATTAGCTAGAAATGCTGAAAGACAGGCCCTCCCTCTCAGAGCAGGCATCTGCCTTGAACTGCGGGCAACCATCCCGCCAGCCTCAGGCTGAAGGCCACCCAGTGACAAGTAGGCCTGAGACTCGGAGAGAGACGGTCAGTCCTGATAATGTTATCCAAACACCTGGGTCCACCTGTGCCTGAACACAGACCCCTCTGGACTTCTTAGTGGCCAAATCAAGAACCTTTTCCTCTTCAGCCAGTCTAGAATTTTTTTTTTCTTTTCCTTTCCCTCCTTCTCTCTCTCCCCTCCCCTTCTTCCTTCCTTCCTTTTTTGTCAGTTGTGGGGCTTGACCTCAGGGCCTGGGCGCTGTCCCTGAGCTCGTTTGCTCAAGGTTAGCACTGTGCCACTTTTGAGCCAAACCCCCACTTCTGGTTTTCTGGCGGTTCATTGGAGATTAAGAGTCTCACAGACTTTCCTGGCCAGGCTGGCTTTGAACCTCCATCCTCAGATCTCAATCTCCTGCTAGCCAATTTAGATTTTTCTATCCCTGGGAACCCACAATGCATTACAGCCATAACCTAGGGAGGCTGAGGTCGGGGCTGGGATGGGCCAGGTATCTCAGGGAGATTCCAGGTCACAGGTCACGGATGGCCTGATGTCAGCCTGGAAGAAGGCTGGGGGAACATGGGTTAGGGGCTGCTGTGGTGGTCTGGCATTCTTACCGAGCACAGGCATGCTGTCTAGAACCTTCTGTGAGAGGGTGGCCGTCTGCACTCCGGGCTGTTCTGGCCTCGTGAGGACATGCTCCAGCTCTCCACGGACGGCAGCCAGCGCCTCGGGGTTTTTGAGAAGGAAGAGCAGAAGCCAGAAGGCCGCGGGGCCCATGTTCCCCTGCACGGAGAAAGAGCTCCCGTCGTACGGCCCGGAGGGCCCAGCGGGCTGGTCTGATGAGGTCCCCGCCCTCCAAGGCCCAGGGCAAGCGGCCAGGCGGGACCAGCATTGTCTCAGCCTCAGGCCACGGCAAAATCTGACTGGCACTTTGGGGGAGACAGCAAAGTGAGCTTGCTGAATAGGACTACAGTTAAGTCTGGGGACGCTGTTCCTTGTCCTGGCCCCTGGCCTCTACCACGTGACAGTAGCTCCAGAGGAGGCCCCGGGTCCTGCCCAGTCCAGGGGGGCACCAGCCACAGACGCAAGGTAGCCCAGAGTCAGGTGCAAAGAACAGAGCAGCAGTGCAACAAGCAGCAGGCCTCACCCAGCAAACCCACGGGGCCAGGATGGGGAGGAGAGATGCCAGGGGTGGAGCTGAGTTTGCCCAGCTGGACCACAGGTAGACCAGCCACACCCACAGCCCTGTGAGCCAAACCCACCGGGTTTCATAGATGCTTGGTACGCAACAGTAGCTAACCGATACACTATCTCAGTGCGGTGTCATACCCCACACTTCCTCCTGGGCCTCACTTCACAAGTCTACCGGTCACTCCAGGGGCGACTGGAGGAAGACACAGAAGCTACCAATAACAGTGGATCTCACACGTCTCAACAGACACATAATTAGGACAATCATGGACTGTCTGGCTCCCAGGCTTGACTTGGCTGGACATGCCTCTATATGTGTGTGTGTGTGTGTGTGTGTGTGTGTGTGTGTGTGTGTCGGGGCTTGCACTCAGGACCTGGGCACTGGTCTCAGATTGTTTTGCTCCATCACTTGAGCCACAGCTCCCCTGCTGGCTTTTTGGTGACTAATTGGAGATGAGTCTCATAGTCATTCCTGCCTGGGCTGGCTTTGAACTGTGATCCTCAATCTTTATCTCCTGATAGCTAGAATTATAGGCATGAGCACGGGCACCCAGCTTAGACATGCTGGTAGTAAATATTTTACCCTCAGCACACCTGCGCACCCAGATGAGGGTCAGCGTCAGTTCAGGGGAAGGTTTCTGTCTATCCTAAGTGACTACTCATTCAATTATAATAATGGAATATTAAATCTTCATTAAATGCCGTATTTACCCAGTAATTTCCTCACAGACATAATTGCGCGCATGCCAGGAAGTTAATCACAGTGCACTGTAACTGTAACACAAGCTCTGTCTGTATCCATGGAATCCTCAGGAATGCATGAGGACTACAGGGCTGTGGCCAGGACCCAGGGAGGCAGGAGACCAGCCCCACTTGTGCAGGGAGAGAGACGTAGAATGGTTTTTTGAAAAAAGACAAGTGAGAGCATGAGAGTTCAAGGCCCAGTACTGGCTCACACACACACACACACACACACACACACACACGCGCGCGCGCGCGCGCGCGCGCGCGCGCACACACACACAATGGATTGCTTAGTGACCAGCAGTGACATGACAAATGCTCACAATACAATATCAAGCCAAATAGAAATGGTGCATAATTTTAACCTACAGAAGAAAAACATAGAAAAGGCTGTGAAGACAGAAAGGCACCAGAGCACTGGCGGCAGTAAGGTGATTCATTTTTGTTTTGCTTCTGTTTGTGGGTTGGTTGGTACTGGGGTTTGAACTCAGGGCCTGGCATCTGTCCTGCCTGTTTGCTCAGCCAGTGCTCTACCACTTGAACAAAGTCACCACCCCAGCTTTTTTATGATGTTTGTGGAGATAGAATCTCAAGGATGTCTCTTCCCAGGCTGGCTGCAAACTGCAATCCTCCAGATCTCAGATTCTGGGCATGAGCCACTGATCTGTCTTGCTTTATCTCCTGTGAATTTTAGGGGTTGAATTTTCTTGTCTAGTAAGTCTACCAAGTGAGTTCCATTATCAGAACTTTTACTAAGAAGGAGAAGAAAATGTTCCCAGGTGTCTGCCCAGTGGCAGGGCTGACACTTGCTAAACACACATCTGTGTCCTTTTGGGAACTGGGACTCGCAGACAGCCTTAGATAAGCTGGAAAAAACCCAGGCTGAAAGCAGACAGAGTCGGGTTCAAATCCCAGCAAGAACTTCTGTAAATCTGGCCAGGCAACCCCCCCTCGGAGCCTCAGGCCCCCCTATATCACAGCAGGGGTACAGCAGAGCCCACTCCTGAGTGGCCACGGGGCTTCCGGGACATACCAGTGGAAACCACTATAGGAAGCCACTGCAGCACGGCAGGAGGGTCAGACACAGCCGAGCAACCACCCACCACACAGACGCATGTCATCATGCAGGCAGGAGGGATGCCAGATTTCTCTTGTGGGGCCTTGCCTCAGTTTACCCAGGAGGTTGTTTTCATCTAACCTTATTCCCTCCTGCTGCAGACACACTGACCAGTTCTGCCTTTGCCCTGGAGTGGCTGGCCTCCAGGGGGCGCTCATTGGCACTTCCCCCACCTTGTTGCCTCTTGGTTGTATTGGCTGGGGATGAATACACCTGCCCACACTCACAAAGACAGAGCGTGAGGTCCTGCGTTCAAGCCCTAAAACCAGCACACGCACATGCACACACACACCCCAAGAGGAGAAAAGGAAAGAATTGGAGAACCAAGATAAGGTGTATACAAGAGTTCATTAAACTATGTCTGTGCCTGTAACCCTAGCTACTCACGAGGCTGAGATCTGAGGATGGCGGTTCGAAGTCAGCCCAGGCAGAAAAGTCCCTGTAAGACTCTTATCCTCCAATTAACCACCCAAAACCCAAAAGTGGTGTTGTGGCTCAAGTGGTAGAGCACTAACTTTGGGCAGAGACTCAAGGACAGTGTGCAGGCCCTGAGTTCCAGCCCCACAACCAACAACAACAAAAGGGCTGGGCATGTAGCTCAGTGGTAGAGTGCTTGCCTAGCATGCATGAAGCCCTGGGTTTGATTCCTCGGTACCACATACACAGAAAAAGCTGGAAGTGGCACTGTGGCTCAAGTGGTAGAGTGCTAGCCTTGAGCAAAAACAGCTCAGGGACAGTGCCCAGGCCCTGGGTTCAAGCCCCAGAAGTGACAAAAGAAAAACAAAAACTATTTATAAAAATTGGCTATCCAGGGGCTGGGAAGGTGGCTCAGTGGTAGAGCGCTTGCCTTGCATGCCTGAGGCCCTGGGTTCAATTCCTCAGCACCACATAAGCAAAAAGATAAAAGCTGGAAGTGGCGTTGTGGCTCAAGTGGTAGAGCGCTAGCCTTGAGCTGAAGAGCTGAGGGACAGAACCCAGGCCCAGAATTCAGGCCCCACGACTGAACCTCCTCCCCCCCAAAAAATTGGCTATCCATTTGAATACCAGTTGAATGGCTGGCCTGCCCCTGATTGGGTTGTACACTGCAAACAGGAAAAGGCCTGGCTGACGGGGCTGTGTGCACAGATGGGGGCAGGGCCGGTGGGGCCGTGTGCACAGGCCACGCCCACACAGCCCAGCACAGCCCAGACACATACACACAAGCTCATGGGTCTACCTGCCCCCATGCCCATGAATGCCACCGCCACGCATGCTCCCAGGTGTGCGTCACACACCTGCATGCACCCCCACGCCCGTGCCCACCTGTGTGGCCCAGAGCTGCAGCACCAGCGTCCGCGCCTGCATCTCCTCCGATACCCCCATCTCCTCCAGGTGCCCGAGGTAGCTCTCCAGCCAGCTGCTCCTGTGGGCGCGGAGGGCCAGCCGGGCCGGGGACAGCAGCTTCCACAGGCGGCCTTTGGCACTGCGTGCTTGGTCCTTATCCCCTGTGGGTCAGCGCACAGGAGTGGGGGTCACACGTGCACCCCCACCCAGCGGGGCAGCCCCACCCTGGCCTCCATTGAGGCCACGGCTCTTCGGGGTGTCGCTCTGTGGAGGTGCAAGACCCAGTACCAGCACTCATGCACACACATAAACCCATACACACACACACACACACCCCAAGTTGTCTTTGCAAACCCTGGAGGTTTGGGTCCTAGAGAGCCAGGAACACAGGGCAGAGACACCCCCATTGCAGATTCTAAGATTTTGAAGTCTTAAATTTTGTCTATAAAATGTATTAGAGTGCATCCTAGGACTCTGATTCTTTCCTAAAAGTAAGTTCAAGTGCCATGTTTGTCCCCACCTTTCTTAGCTTCCGGAAGGCAAGTGTAGACACATCTGTGTCTCACGGGTTCTGGGCTCCGGTGCATACCGGACGCTGCCCTCACAGGACCCCCCCCCCATGGGATGCTTCACAGCTGCGGTCTGCTTTTCGAGGACGCAGGATTTATTGATTAGTCCCCACTGTGGATGTTTACGGAGCTTCTAGCTTTGTGCCTCTGCACCAAGGGCCAAGCGTATCTGCTTGGAGCTCAAGCACGCAGTGTCCCCAGTTCTTTGGTAGGGTGTGCCCACTTGGCTTTTCAGCTGCCCACGACCACAGGGTCTGGGAGCTGCTTTGCTCCCATCTCTGCCTCCAACGGAGGGAAACTGTCCTCTGACACTGCCACCTGCTGTCCACACTGGGAAGTGCAGCCTCCCTAGACCTGGCTCTGGGATAATGGAGGGGCTCTTTGCATCTGCCCAGACACTGGAGGAAGGCAGTGGAGAAGCCTAACCTCTCCTGAGGACACAGCTAGCACGGGGATGTTGAAAATGCGTAACGCACAGGATTTACACGCAAGCAAAATTCCCATGTTGCTGCTGAGGCCTCTGCGAAGGGACATCAGCTCTGAGCCTCAGTTTCCCTATCTACAAAGCCAGTACTGCCATGCCAGCCTGCCAACGACGATGGCAGAATTTTATTGGGTAGTGAATTGTCTCTAGAAAGACAAGAGACAGAGACGGTTCACAGAGAAGAGAGGCAAAATGCACTTTATCACAGTGGTTGACAGGTGGACAGAAAGCCAGATGCCCTGTTCTGCCCGTAGAACTGGTGAAGGCTGAAGGGTTGCTAATGAGGGCAGGAGGAATGACCAGACGCAGCCTGCCAGATCACAAAGAACATCTTCTGGGCGGGGAGGTTGGGGGAGATGGGGAGACCCCTTCACTAGAGGTGAGCATATGAACAGCTCTGTGACTTTGGAAATGAGGTGACAGGGGCTAAAACAAAAGTTTTAATATGTCTGGTACAGTGGTGTACCCCTGTAATCTTGGCACTCAAGACATGGAGGAAAGATGGTCATAGGTTTCAAACCAGCCTGAGCTACACAAAATCTAAACACAAAGGCTGCCGAGCATGGGACTCACACTTTAAATACCAGCGACTCACAAGGCTGGGCTCTGAAGATCATGGTGGAAGCCGGCCTGGCCAGGAAAGTGTGAGAATCTTAATTCCAATGAACCAGCGAAAAGCTAGAAGTGGAGGTTTGGGTCAAGTGGTAGAGTGCCATCCTTGATGGAATGCTCAGGGTCAACATCTAGGCCCTGAGTTCAAACCCCCCAGGACCAGTACACACACACACACACACACACACACACACCTAGGGACACAGCTCAGTAGTTAAATGTTTGCCTAGCACAAATAGCACATAAGACCCTTGTTTCCATACTTATACATTTAGAAAACTTTCCTGGGGCTGGGAAGGTGGCTCAGTGGTAGAGCGCTTGCCTTGCATGCATGAGGCCCTGGGTTCGATTCCTCAGCACCACATAAATAGAAAAAGCCTGAAGTGGCGCTGTGGCTCAAGTGGTAGAGCGCTCGCCTTGAGCTGAAGAACTGAGGGACAGCGCCCAGGCCCAGAGTTCAAGCCCCACGACCAACCAAAAAAAAAAAATCTTTTGACTTGGCAAACCTACTTCTAGGAAACTCAGAGAGAAAAAAAAAAGCACAGGGAAGTGGTACTGTGGCTCAAGTGGTAGAGTGCTAGCCTTGAGCTGAAGAGCTGAGGGACAGCGCCCAGGCCCAGAGTTCAGGCCCCATGACTGACCATTAAAAAATAAAGTAACAAGAAATAAAAGCACAGTAGAAAAGATTAGCTCAATGGATTGCCTTATTAGAGAAAACAAAGGCAACACAAATACCTACCAGAGGGAGATGGCTGGCTAGATTTGGCCCAGCCACGCCAGGGCTAGAAAGACACAGCATTTCTACATTAATTCGCATTATTCATGTTGCTGGATGAGTAAGAACTCCTGGTTCACCTGCAAAGAGGGAGTAGCTCTACTTCTCCACCTGCCTGTCATCCGCAATTGATTTCTTTTGTCTCCCCACCCTCACATCAGTAATTGATTTCTCTTGTCTAACCGTTCAGGCTCAAGCCTCTAAAAGATGTGCTGACAGGAAGGATCCACAGCTGGTCTTAGGTCAAAGAAATCCAGGTAGCAAAGAGCAGGTATAGTCGCGTCCCATATCCTGGGACAGACTCGGCGCCTGTGTTTATGTAAGTGTGCTCAGCTACAAGTTCTGGGTGACATTACTGTGGCAGGAGGAAGAGGAGGCGGATTGCTGATTTCTTTCTCAATGTCAGGAGTGTCTCTGTGCCAGCCAAGCGAATGTGGAAAGACAGAACACCCCTGGCTCAGAGGGAATCGTGCGTGTGGAGCTTACCCACAGACAGGGAGCCGCGGGCCAGCTTGGGGAGCAGCAGGTCGAGCTGGCGGAACGCCTGGAAGACGTCGGCCGAGTGGGCGCGGTCCTGGGCCTGGCTGCGCTCCGTCTGCGGCACGGCCTCCACTCCATACAGAGTCAGGTAGCCGGCCCTGGGGGGCAGCGGCACGTCAGGGCCCCGCTGGGGACACGGTTTCCTCCAAGGGCTGCCCGTCACCCGAGGGGCAGCTGCTGCCGCATGCCAGGGACGGCTGTAAATGAACTCGACAAGAACCCGTCCCGGCCCCACAGTGGTGACATGGGGTCTGGACCAGGCTGACCACTGCGCACCCGCTGTGCACCCTTGCACAAGGGACTTCCGCTCTGCCTCAGTTTCCACGTCTGTCACATGGCTCCACCCAGGCCTTCCTGGGTGGCGTCTGCTGGGCTGGGTTGGAAAGGCCTGGCTGAGGATAAGCCTGGGTCTCCAGGTCCCTGGGGATGCGGGGTCAGGGCACGTGGGTCAGCGTGTGCAGTGTGACATGATCCGGGTGATCATGCTGTGACCTCCGGCTGACCGGCCTGCGGGACCATCCGCTACAGGGGAGACCCTGGTCCACTGGGGCAGACAAGAGTCCTCTGCCCTCTGGCTGACTGGCTGGGGTGCCAGGGAGAGAGTGGGGAGGAGGAGGAGGAAGAGGGGTGGGGCACAGCGGTGCCTGGAGCCACAGCATCCGCCCTGGCCCGGGGCGCTGGGCCTCTCCCAATCCACCGGGAGGGCGGGGCCTGCGGGAGAAAGTCACTCCAGCTCTCCAGCCCAGACCCACCCAGAGACCCCAGGCAGGGGTCCCCGGGAGAGGCCCTCCCAGCTGGGGTGCAGAAAGCAGGAGGGAGGGAGGCCGGGTGCAGAGGGGCCTGTCTAGTCGCATCTGACCCCACCCCTGTGGGGCAGGCACATAGTAGGCCTGCAATAAATGTTGGAAGGGTGTGCGGGTGGATGCACACATGAACCAGTAGATAGTCGGTAGATGTGTGTACAGACAGGACAGGAAGCTGACACCTGGCCCCAGCCCCGCCAGCCACCCCGGCAGGAGCTGGGCCGTGTCTGCCGCCTTTCAGATGGGTTCCTAGGGGCTTCCTGAGGCCCTGAGCTCTGTGACTCTACACTGTTTCCCTATACATCTACTTAAATTCACTCAGCGGAGTCAGGCATTGGTGGCTCACCAATAAGAGCAGAAATGGAGCTGTAGCTCAGAGGTAGAGGGCTAGAATTGAGCAAAAAAGCTCAAGGACCTAGGTGCGTGTGCGCGTGCATGCACACGCACGCACACACACACAAAACCTCAGTGTGGTTGTCAGTGGATGCTGACGCCAGGTCAATACCACATATGGCCCCTAGGTGGCGCCAGGCGCCACAGCGCTGGATGGAGCAGGCCAGGGGAAAGCCTCAGGGTGGACAGATCTGGAGGACCCGGTGCTGGCGGCAGCCACAGAGGCTGGACAAGACAGGCAGGAGCCCCTGGCCAGTGGGAGCGGCATTCCTGGGCAAGGGAACAGGCACTGAGGACTCCCGGTGTGAGCGCGGCTGGCCTGGGGTGGCAGGTGGCAGGTGGCAGGACCGGGGCAGGGGGCACCTGAGTGAGGTTGGAAGGTTCCGGTGGCAGCACCTCGCAGAGCTGCTGTGGACACGAGTCCTGTTCACCCACACCCCACGCCCCAGGCCAGCTGCCCTCCACGCCTAGACATGCTATTCGGGTCTGGGGGAGGGGACCCGTGTGTGCACTGCTGCTCACCCCAGCCACTGAAGGGCATCCCCACGGCTCCTCCCTCACGGCCTCGCCAGGCTCCCGCCAGCCTCCACCCCAGCAGCCTCCCCGCAGGCCCCAACGTGGGGTCACAAGCTACCCACAGTTCCACCCTCCCCGGGATCCGGACCACCACAGCCCAGAGGGCCTTTCAGGCCAGCAAGGGTGACCGCCCCCCCCAGGTCACCTTATCTCAAAAGGTAAGCTCCAAAGCCTCCACAGCTTTGAGGCTGGGTGAGACTCTGCATTCCCCAACCTCAGCTCCACCCTGCCCCGCCCCCCGCAGGACGTGTCAGCCACGCCCCTCCCCCCCCCTTTCCTATCCCAGGGCTTTTGCCCTTCCTGTTCCTCAGCCTGGTGGGCACACCACCCTTAGGCAGGTCTCTGCTTTGAAGCTGGGCTCTCAGGGCGCTCCACCCGCATTGTGTGGCTGAAAGCAACCCCACATGCCAGCCCCGCTGCAGGTCATCACCCTCAGACCAGGGCTCACGGCCAGCCTTGTTTCCCCGGAATCCCTGGGGCCCCAAACAGAGCAGGGGTGCAGGGGATGTGATCGCAGGAAAAGGCACTCTGGAGTCCTCAGCCCCTCCTCGATCTCTGGGTGACCCACAGTGGGCGGCTGCCTTTCAGTTCGGCTGGGTGTGGGGACGTGGCGGGCGTGGCACGCGGCATCTCCAGCTGTGCCCCACCCCGGAGCCCTCAGGCTCCCCTGGCCCTGCCCAGGGTGGCACAGGTGCAGAGGCCCAGCCCACCTGGGGACGGCCCCGGGCTCACCTGAGCAGGCAGCCGTAGGAGAGCTCCAGCAGGCCGGTCTCGCGCCAGCCGTCTGCCTCCCCAGGGCCGCCCAGCAGGACCGTGCGGAGGTTGGCGTACATGGCTTCCGTGAGCGCCTGCAGGTCTCGGTGGAGGAGCGTCCTGAGGTCAGCAACGAAGAGGAGTGGTCAGCCCTTCAGCAAAACCACAAATACCTCCCTCCCCAAACCGTCAGCGGCCCAGAGCTCAGCTTCCCGCGGGGCACAGGGCCGAGGTGAAGACCAGGTTACGTAAGAGGGCTTGAACCTACGTCCTCCACGGGGCTGCTGGAGTCAGCCATCAAGCTAAGCAGAAAGACGTCATTTCACAGGATTAAAAGTTACTTCTTAGTAGGCACCAGTGGCTCACACCTGGCATCCTAGCAACTCAGGAGGCTAAGATCTGAGGATCACGGTTCAAAGCCAGGCCAGGCAAGAAGATCCATGAGACTCTTATCTCCAATGAACCACCAGAAAACTGGAAGTGGTGCTGTGGCTCAAGTGGTAGAACGCTTGCCTTAAGCACAAAGAGGCTCAGGAACAGCACGCAGGCCCTGAGTTCAAGTCCCAGGACCAGCAAAAACGGAGAAACAAACCTGCTGCGGAGCCACGCACAACTGGCCCAGGGCTCGACTCCCCACAGAAAGAAGGAGGTGCGTCCCTGCCCCCCCGCCCCGTGCTCCCCTCCCCAGCCACTCACGGTTTCATCCTGGCCTTCTCGTCACTGGGGTTATAATGAGGAAGCTGCACATCGAAAATCCTCTCCATGAGGAAGACAGCGTAGGCGTGGAAGTCCAGCCTGGTGCGCGGCTCCCACACCACGGCGTCGTAGGAGTGCGGGTCCAGGAGCACGGTGACGTACCTGCCCCCCACCAGAACCTGCGGGAGCAGCCGCCACGAACAGCCGCAGCGGCCAGCGGTCACACACCCATGCCGGGACACACCAGGCAGCAGCACAGTGCCAGGGCCTCTCACGAGGCAGGAGGGGCTGGAGTGAGGCCTGGAGAAGGGGAGCGGTGGGCCCAGGTCTCCCCACAGGAGGCCCCAGAGCCAGGGCTGCTGGATTTCAGCATCTTTTCAAGTCAAAGGCTTCGATCTTTAGCACCCACTCCCAAACACAGACCATCGCTCTGCTGGTGGTGGCTGCCACGTCTCCAGCATCCCCAAGAACAAGAGTTTGCCTACGGCCGCAGGTGGATGTCATGTATATCATGGAGGTATAATGGATCAATGGATGAATGGATGGTGGGTGAGTGGATGGGTAGATGGATGATAGAGGGATGATGGATGGATGGATGGTGTGTGTCACTGGATGACAGATGGATGGATGGATGGATGGATGGGTGGATGGATGGATGGTGGGTGAAAGGATGGATAAGATCTATAGATTTATGGATGGATGGATGATGGGTGGAGGGATGAATGATGGGCATATGGATGTATGGTAGGTGAATGGATGGATAGGAAGATGTACAGATTGATGAATGGATGATGAATGGATGGTGGGTGAGTGAATGGATAGATAGGAAGATGTATAGATTGATGGATGGATGAAGGATGGATGGATAGATGGATGGATGGATGGTGGGTGAGTGGATGGGTGATGGATGGGTGGATGGATAATGGATGGATGGATGGATTCTTTTTTTTTGGGGGGGGGGTCCGGTCGTGGGGCCTGGGTGCTGTCCCTCAAGGCTAGCGCTCAGGGCCACTTCCGGCTTTTTTTTTTGCTTATGTGGTGCTGAGGAATCAAACCCAGGGCCTCAGGCTTGCAAGGCAAGCACTCTACCACTGAGCCACCTTCCCAGCCCTGGATGGATGGATTGATGGTGGGTGAGTAGATGGATGGATAGGAAGATGTATAGATGGATGCGTGGATGGATGAAGGATAGATGAATGGATGGATGGATGGTGGGTGATGGATGGGTGGATGGATAATGGATGGATGGATGATGGATGGATGGATGGATGGTGGGTGAGTAGATGGATGGATGGATAGTGGGCGAGTGGATGGATGAAGGATAGATGAATGGATGGATGGATGGTGGGTGAGTGGATGGGTGATGGATGGGTGGATGGATAATGGATGGATGGATGATGGATGGATGGATGGATGGTGGGTGAGTAGATGGATGGATGGATAGTGGGCGAGTGGATGGATGAAGGATAGATGAATGGATGGATGGATGGTGGGTGAGTGGATGGGTGATGGATGGGTGGATGGATAATGGATGGATGGATGATGGATGGATGGATGGATGGTGGGTGAGTAGATGGATGGATGGATAGTGGGCGAGTGGATGGATGGACAGGAAGATGGATGGATGGTGGGTGAGTGGATGGGTGGATGGATGATGGATGGATGGATGATGGATGGATGGTGGGCGAGTGGATGGATGGACAGGAAGATGGATGGATGGTGGGTGAGTGGGTAGATGGATAGGAAGATGGACGGATGATGGATGGACGGACACTGAAGGACCTCACAGCTCCATGGATGCGGTCCATGGCACTGAGAGGCTAGACATCAGTGATGTTGAACGTGTGGTTAGGCTGACTGCCCAGGAAGGGTGGCAGGTGGCAGTCAGGGAGCTGTGTGGGGGACGGGGCTCCCCTCCGCTCTTCCTCTCCCCCCGGGGCAGGACTCACAGTGAAGATGTCTCCATGCTTCTCCTTCATCCTGCTCAGGAAGCTGGCGGCATCTTTTCCAAACTCCAGGGCGTGGCCCAGCCAGGGGATGCTGCCCAGGTCCAGGGGAGGCTCACCAGGACGCCTGGAAAAGCCACCACATTTAGCACCACTTGTAAAAGCAAAGGAGGGGTGCAGCGCAGGCCTGGGGGCGGTCAGGGCACACTGCAGAGAGAAGACCCTGAGCAGAGAGGGAGGGAGGGCGGCACGTGGAAATGGAGAGCTTTCTAGGAGAGGGGGCACAAGGGCAAAGGCCCTGCGGTCGGCCCGTGGGCGTTCACAGAGCAGCGAGGAGGCTCAGGGGAACAGAGGGAAGCAGGGGAGACGAGAGCTAGTGCCCAGCGCGCCAGCACGGGCCGGTGGCCCGGATGGGTGCGGCCACCTCCCTGCAGGGGTGAGGTGGACACAGTTCTGAGCCCACCCAGACCCAGGTTTTGGTGGTTGCATGCTCATGGTCCCGGCCTTGGGGGACGAGGGAGAGGGGCTGGGCAGCAGAGGAAGATGGCTGCCGTTTGGCGCTCTGGTCTGGAGGCCCTGGGTGCGGGGAGGCCGGGCTGTGGGGGGCATTCCCGACAGGGGGCCCTCTGTGAGAACAGCTGTGCTGGCCCCGGACGCCGCTGCCGGCAGGAGCCCAACCCCGAGCCCGCTCCACCCCACCACACACGGCCCCGCCGTCCACCGACAGGGCAGGACACAGGCTTTCTCCTCACGGGGCTCAAAGGGAGAGTGGGCGCCGGTAGCTCACGCCTGTAATCCTAGCTACTCAGGAGGCTGAGATCTGAGGATCGAGGTTCAAAGCCAGCCTGGGCAGCAACGTCTATGAGACTCTTAATCACCAATGAACCACCAGAAAACCAGAAGTGGCGCTGTGGCTCAAGTGGTAGAGCGCTCGCCTTGAGCTGAAGAGCACAGGGACAGCGCCCGGGGCCAGAGTTCAAGCCCCACGACAGACAAAATAAAATAAAATAAAATGTGCCAAGGAGACTCAATCTGTGCGGGCTCTGGGAAGGAAGGGATGCCGCCCTGGACGCCCGATCGGCTGCCTCCTTCCTCCCACGGCAGGGGCTCTCCACGCCTGACCCTGGGCCTGCCTCGCCCAGCCCCACGTCCCCCCCTCACCCCAAGGACCAGAAGGGACCAAGGACACCACAGGCAGGGCCCCGCAACCGCCTCATGTTGGGGTGGGGTGGGGCTGGTGCTCAGAGACGCCTCAGGGGCCCCAAAGCCAGGCTGGGACCCTGCCACGCTCCCTGGCATGAGAAAACCCTGTGTGGGGCGGGCGGTGAGCAAGGTGGTCTCCCCGCAGCAGGGGACAGGGTGAGGGCACGGGACGGGCACAGATGGGGCTCAGGGCAGAGCAAGCAGAGCCTGGCTCACACACTACCAGGAAATCAGCGAGACTGGCAGATAACGAAGAGCGGGCTCCCCAACAGGCAGACAATGCCCTTCACTTTAAGATGAAAGATGGGCGCGGGCGGCTCACGCCTGCCATCCTAGCTACTCGAGAGGCTGAGATCTGAGGCTCAGGGTTCAAAGCCAGCCTGGGCAGGAAGTCCGCAAGACTCTTCTCTCCAGTGAAGCAGTTAAAAACAGAAGTGGGCTGGGAAGGTGGCTCAGTGGTAGAATGAAGCGTCGCTGTGGCTCCAGTGGTAGAGCGCTCGCCTTGAGCTGAAGAGCGCAGGGCCAGCGCCCAGGCCCAGAGTTCAGGCCCCAGGACTGGCACAAAAATAAAATAAGATTGAAATGAAGGACAAGGCGGAGCACGCGGCCCAGCGGGCAGAGGCCCTGGCCCACCCCTGGTATTGCAAATAAACCAGAAAAGTGGACAGAGGATCCCCAGGCAGCTCTCCAGAGACGAGCGAGGCGTCCGGCGAGCGCGCGGGGGCCGTGGCCGCGCCGTCAGCGGGAAGACCGCAGCACTGCCCCCTGTGCTGGGGAGGGGAAGGGGCGCCCCGCAAAACGTCACGGGGGGGGGGGGGCCTCCAAAACCAGTGTGCCAGTCCCTCAAAGGGTTAAAGGCAGTTCCTGCGTGACTTGGCAATGTGCCCCCAAGAACTGAAAACATCTGTTCATGCAAAAATCTCCTACACCCCCGGACGTGGAGTGGGAGCAGCCCACTCAGAGACAAACCGGCTCTGACGGCGAGTCACAGCGAATATGGCGCGTCCAGGCCGAGGAACGTTACTCAGCCAGGAAAAGGAATGACGTGACCATCCTCAAGACATGGAAACTGAAAAGAGCCAGAGACGCAAGGGCACGCAGCACGAGTCCATCCGCGGGGAGTGTCCACGGTGGGAGAGCCACAGACAGGAAGGGACTCCAGGTGGCCAGGCTGAGCGGGGTGACGCAGCGGGGAGACTGACGGCCAATGCCTGGGTCAGAGTTTCATTTCGCGAGGAGTCGATGAAAGTATTCGGATCCTCCCCGAGGAGAGGCCAGGTGAGCAGAGTCCTGGAGGACAAGAGGAGGATACTCTGGAAGTGTGGGGGGGAGAGCGCCGGCAGAGGGCAGCACGTGCAAAGGCCCTGGGGCGGGAGATGGTTTCAAGAGTGAGAGTGTGCGGTGAGATGTAGGCAGGGAGACTGGACATGATCTTCAGATGTCATGAAGGCTGGGGGGAGGGGCTGAAGGCCCGGGGAGCAGGCCTGGCCTCTGTCCCCCCACTTCCAGAGCAAAGGCTCCATGGGGTCCAGCAGCTCCGGGGCGTTGGCTCCTCTCCCGCCTCCTGCCTCCAGTGTCTCATCCCTCTGTGGTCCCAGCATCTCCTCAAAGTGGGGCAGCGGTGGACAGGAGAGCGCAGCCAGGTTTGAGGGGCAGGGCTGGGGAAAGAGGGGAGCAGACCCAGGAACCAAGGGGGGTGTAGGAGAAGTACCCCTGTGCCCCGCCTCTGACCTGCCACTCACAGCCACAGACGGGCAAAGCCAGAGCACCGTGCTCCTGGGAGTGCCAGGCCCTCCTCCCGTCTCCTCCTGTGCGTGTGTGCATGCACACACACGCATGCATGCACACACACGCGCGCGTGCTGGTCCTGAGGTTTGAACTCTGGGCCTGGACACCATGCCTGAGCTTTTGTGCTCAAGGCTGGTGCTCTACCCCTTGAACCACAGCTCCATTTTCAGCTTTTTGGTGGTTCATTAGAAAAAAGCATCTCATGGATGTTCCTGGTTTCAAACCATGATCCTCAGATCTCAGCATCCCGATCAGCTGGGATTACAGGCGTGAGCCACCAGCACCCAGCTTTCCCTGTGTTTGGCAGGCCCCGGTAAGACGGCTTTTCTGTCATGGGCAGAGCGGGGCACACAGGGGCCGGATCTGTGCACGCAGGTCCAAGCCGCAGCTGCTGGCTTCCAGCCCTGCGTGTCCCGCTGGCTGCTCCGCTTCTCCCGGCCTCCGTGGCTTGATCTACGACAGGGGAGTGACCACAGCCTGGCCGTCGCCACTTGGTCCCAGGTCACCTCTGGTAGACTTCGCGGATGAGGGAAACAGGCGCAGAGCGATTTCAGAGGCCGTCCACAGCACGACCTGCCCCGGGCAGCGGGGCTGGGGGGGGGTCCCTTCGCCCCGGGCAGCGGGGCTGGGGGGGGGTCCCTTCGCCCCGGGCAGCGGGGCTGGGGGGGGGTCCCTTCGCCCGGGCAGCGGGGCTGGGGGGGGGGTCCCTTCGCCCTGGCAGCCACTCCCCCCCTCCCTCCCGCACAGGTGTTATTTCTGGCAAGCTGCTGCTCTCCCCACACAGGCCAAGGCGGCTGGGACAAAGGCAGGAAGCCGGAGCCCGGGCGCCAGACCCCCACGGGGCGGGCTCCCCCAGGCCAGGACGGAGAGCCAGCCGGAGGCCTCGCATTCCAGGCTGACTCAGCCTGCGGCGGCCAGAGGCGCTATTTGGGGCTGCGGTCTCTGGCCCCCACACTTTCACTGTCTTTGGCCAGGGCATGGAGGAAGGAGGGCGGGTGGGCGGGCAGGCAGGCAGGAGGGAGGGAAGGAGGGAGGGGTGGCAGGCCAGATCCTCCCACCTCTCCCTCCTATCCCGCGCTCCAGCTCAGACCCCAAGCTACTCCCCAGCCATTCCCCCTGGGGGAGGGAGGAAGTGGAGGTGGCCCCCCTGGGGCCTGGACTCTGGCTGTGTGCTGCAGGGACAGTCCTCCAAACCCTTGGACCGTGCAGGCTACATAGCAGGTGTGTAAATGATGTGTGTGTGTGTGTGTGTGTGTGTGTGTGTGTGAATAGACTGCATACATACACAGTGGGTGTTCAACAAGCAGGCCCATCCCCAGAGCCACTCAGAGGGCTAAGGGAGCAGAGGGCAGGAACAGCTCCTCCGGCTGCTGTGCTGTGCTGCTCCGCTGTGTTGCCCACCCTCTCTGTTCAATAGCTCCCACTCAGCACAGGCTCTCCGGCTCCAGCAGGGGGCTGGTTTCTGCTGAGCTCTGTTAGGGCAAACTGAACTACCTAAGCTGCCCTCGGCTCCCCAGGACTCGCGTCCCTCGACCCTGGCCACCGCCGTCTGCTGGGCAGGAAAACACACAAGGCCCCTCCAGCAATGGGTTTTGTTTTCCTGCTTTGAAATAGTGCAGTTGAGATCATTTCTTATCCAGGGAGGAAAACCCAGCCGTGGGAGGTCAGGGTGGGGGAGGCCCAGCAGAGCAGATCCCACCAAAGTGTGGCCAGGTTACCTCCTCCCCGCCAGAAGCGGGAAAGGTGGGGCTTGGCATCTGGAACTTTGCTCAGCCCCATTCCCGGCTTCATCCAGGTGCTGCTGCTGCAAGGAGACCTGGGCATCCTGCATCCTGCAGGTGCGCAGCCCACGTCACTGTGACCTCCACATCCGGGCACCCACCACACAAGCCCAGCGCTCGGTGTGGCCAGAGGCTGGCATGGAAGACAACTGCCACCACTCATTTCAGACTACACTTGGGGAAACTGAGGCCAGAAAAGCCAGAAGACAGTCGCTGGTACCCACAGAACAAATCACGACCCCACTGGGCCCAGAAAAGAGGCTCCTGCCGCTCAGAGCCTCGGGCTCCCCACCCACACGGCTCGCCCAAGCACAGCTGCCGAACGGGCCTCCCACTCCTGCTGTGACTCTGGAAGTTTGACTGTGGGGGCTGCAGCTGCAGCTCAGCGTGAGAGCTCTTGCCTCGTGTGCTCAAGGCCCTGGGTTCCAGTCTCAGTGTAGAAAGATGATCGATATATAAAGATAAAACAATGCAAAGACTTGTTTTTAGAGGGCAGGTGTGGTGGTGCACACCTGTAATCCTCAGCACTGAAGAGATAGACGCAGGAGTGATCAGAGTGGAGGCCAGCCTACACAGTAAGACCAGGCTCAAAAAAAAGGGAGGGGGCCGGGAGTGTGGCTCAGTGGCAGAGTGCATGGAGCCCTGGGTTCGATTCCTCAGCACCACAGACACAGAAAAAGCCGGAAGTGGTGCTGTGGCTCAAGTGGGAGAGCACTAGCCTTGAGCAAAAGAAGCTGAGGGACAGCGCCCAGGCCCTGGGTTCAAGCCCTGGGACTGGCAAAAAAAAAACAAGTTGGGACTGATGGAAAGATGTCACTGACCAGGAAGTACCAGACTCAGAACCTGACCCATGCAATTGTAACCACTCTGCACGACTACTTTATAATGTTTTTTAAAAAGAAGGAAGAAAAACATTGAGTTTCAACTGGAAACTGAGTAACACTAAGAATCTTTTTTATCCTCAGGCAGGGTATGAGACTGAGATTGTCACTGTTCTTTCTTTCTTGTTTTTAAATGAAAGTTTTGAAATAATTCAGAGAACGAATACCACATCTTTTAACAACACCACATTCTTAACAACGTTAGTGGTTCTGAGATCATGGAAAGGGTACACGAGAGCTCTTACATGATCATTTTTCTGCACCGTTGAAAGTTTCATAGCTGAAATTTTACAGATTGGGGGCGGTAGTACTGGCTTTGTACTAGAGGCTGGAGTGATCTCTCTGCCCGAGCCCAGCCCTCTGCTGGCTATTTTGGAGAGGAGTCTTGTGGATTTCTCGGCACAGGCTGGCTTCCAACTATCATCCTCAGATCTCAAACTTCAAGGAGCTGAGGAGCTGATCCTGGGCCTGAACTCTGGGCCTGGGATCTGTCCCTGAGCTTCTTTTGCTCCAGGCTAGCGCTCTACCACGTAGAGCCACAACACTTCTGGCTTTTTCTGGGTACCTTATTGGAGACAAGGCTCTCAGGAACTTTCTTGCCCAAGCGGGCTTTGAACCATGATCCTCAGCTCTCAGCCTCCTGAGTAGCAAGGATGACAGGCATGAGCCATGGGTGCCTGACAAATTCTTTTTTTTTTTTAATGGTGGAGGCAAAAGCACAGTTGCTGATGAACTGGAGGGGTGTCTTTGTTTGTTTGTTTTTTACTGGGGTCAGCATAGATTTCAAGGCTGGCTGGCCGAGGAAGGTTCTCTTTTCTGTTTGAGACAGGCCAGGCTGGCCTAGGTTGCTCAAGTGCTGGGATTAGACTGCACAGGGCCGATGTGCAGTCTACTTCCTGTGGGGGTCTTGGAAAGGTCACTTCTCATCTTGGAGCCTGGGCTGTGAGGCAGGGGAGATGAACATGGCCCTGGGCGTGATCAGGAGAAAGGAATGCAGGCAGGAGGGAGGGTCTTGCCTACAATCAGCCTAACTGGAGCATTCGCCACACAGCATGAAGTCATCCACCTCTTCCCAACACCCAAGCATCCGCCCTTCTAGAAACAGAAGCACCTACTGCCCAGCCATGGTGGCCACGTGTGTCTAAGACGCCCGGGTTCAAATCACCACTGCAGTGTCACGGAACAGGGAGGATTCGTTTCTTCCCAGGAATTAAAAATGCTTACAGCCCAGACTTTTCATGGGGGCTGACCTTGAGCAAGTGGCTTGGTTCTCAGGGTCTGTTTCCTCCTCTGTAGAGTGGAGGTGACCCAGTGTCCCCTAGACAAGTTGGGACCTAAATTGGGATCCCGGGGTCCATACTGCAGTCCCCCCAGCCGCCAGGGCTCCCATTCCATTCCTCGCCCCATGGCCCTTGCTGGCTCTCCACAGGAATAAAAAAGCAAAGCCAAGGCCCACTCCCACGAAAGCAGGCTCTCTGGCAGGCTTTAGCAAGAATTAGCCCAAACAAGGCTCAAGGGCAGTTCCTTCTGACCTGCTTGCTGTCATTACCCTCGTCCTCACTGTAAAAACTGGGAAACTGAGGCAGGCCGCAGTCACTTGAGCCGTATTTCCAGAGGGTGGGAACTCCAAAAGCAATGTTTCCCAGAATCTGTGAACTTCCTGGCTGCCTCCCTGACTCCCACGTCCCTACCCCCAGGCCCTGAAGGAAGGCGGTGGCCCAAGGAGTAAAACCTCTAAAGCACTGGAAACAACCAAAAACATCCGTTGGAGGGACATGAATAAAAAGGAACACGTAACTCAGCCGGGTAGGGTGGTGGCCCGCCTGAGGTCCCAGGCAGGGGGCAGAGACAGGAGCTGGAGCAAAGATAGTTTGACTCTGTCTCAAAAAACAAAAGGAGAGAGTGGAGGAGCGGCTCTTGTGGTGGAATGTCTGCCTTGCAAGCAGAGGGTCCCGAGTTCAAACTCCCATGCTGCCAAGGGAAGAAATCGGCAACATTCAAATTGTGGGATATTCTTACAGAAGATCAGAACGGATCAGATCATGAAGGAGTGGGAACAGATGTCAAACCTAACATCTACAGAGAGGCAAGCAAGCGAACGGAAAACTTACACTTCTCTGCGCAGTGTCAGAGAAGCCCATGGCTTAGAGAAACATCCAGTCCTTCAGGAGGAAAGTGATCTCTCTTTCATCTTCCTTCCTTCCTTCCTCCCTTCCTCCCTTCCTCTCTCTCTTCTTCTGTCTTTTTAATACAAATGTGAGACAGCTTTAAGTCCACCTGAGTTTGGGGACTGAAAGAGGACAGTGAGCCTATTGTTTTGAAAATTCAAACAACATGTTGTTTGGCAATTAAGTCCTCCACATTTCTGGAACTCTCAGGCACTCCTATGTGAACACACGCACACTCACACTCACACACATTCTCACACTCACACTCACACACACTCACACGCTCTCACTCACACACACACACTCGCACACTCACACACACATTCTCACACATTCACACACGCTCTCACACACGCTCATACACTCGCACACACTCGCACTCACACTCTCACGCACTCTCATAATCACACACGCACACGCACATTCTCACACGCACTCTCTCACACACGCACACTCACAGCACTCTCACACTCACACACACTCGCACACACTCGCACTCACTCTCCCACCCTCGTGCCCCGGGCAGTGATCTGAGGGGAAGGCAGGTCTAATCCACCGGGGCGGCGCCGGGCCGGGGTCGGTGCGGAGCGGCCGGCGGAGCCTGCGCGGAAATGCGGGCACCGCGCACCGTGGAGGAAGGTTCGGGAAGCCCGTGCTGTCCTCGCGGCTGCGAGCGGGCTGCACCGGGGCGTCCTCGTCTCGAACAAAGGCTCGGGCGGGCTCCGTGCTCCGGGCCCCGGGCTCCGTGCTCCGTGCTCCGTGCTCCGTGCTCCGGGCTCCGTGCTCCGGGCCCCGGGCTCCGGGCTCCGTGCTCCGGGCTCCGTGCTCCGTGCTCCGGGCCCCGGGGTCTGGGCTCCGTGCTCCGGGCTCCGTGCTCCGGGCTCCGTGCTCCGTGCTCCGTGCTCCGTGCTCCGGGCCCCGTGCTCCGGGCTCCGTGCTCCGGGCTCCGGGCTCCGTGCTCCGGGCCCCGGGCTCCGTGCTCCGTGCTCCGGGCCCCGTGCCCCGGGCTCCGTGCTCCGGGCCCCGGGCTCCGTGCTCCGGGCCCCGGGCTCCGTGCTCCGGGCCCCGGGCTCCGTGCTCCGGGCTCCGGGCTCCGTGCTCCGGGCCCCGGGCTCCGTGCTCCGGGCCCCGGGCTCCGTGCTCCGGGCCCCGGGCTCCGTGCTCCGTGCTCCGTGCTCCGGGCCCCGTGCCCCGGGCTCCGTGCTCCGGGCCCCGGGCTCCGTGCTCCGTGCTCCGTGCTCCGGGCTCCGTGCTCCGGGCCCCGGGCTCCGTGCTCCGGGCTCCGGGCTCCGTGCTCCGGGCCCCGGGCTCCGTGCTCCGGGCGCGGGCAGGCTGGCGCGGCCACGTCTCCCGCCGGCCGGGCCCCAGGGGCTCGGGCGCCCGCGGCGGGCGGGGTGGACGCGGGGCGCGCGGGCCGGGCGAGGCCGCCCTCCGCGCCGCTCGGCCCCGACCCCCGCCCGACCCGCGGTGGCGCGCTGCGGGCCGCGCGGGGCCGGGGTCCCGGCGCAGGTCGCGCCCGACGGGGGCGGAAGGGACCCCGGCCGGCCGGGCCCGGCGCGGGCACGCGGGCGCCCCCCGAGCGGCCGGGCGGCAACACTCACCGCGTCCGCCGGCGGGTCAGCAGCAGCAGGAGCAGCAGCAGGGCGGCCAGGAGGCCGAGCAGCGCGGCCCAGGACATGGCAGCGGCGAAGGCGCGCGGGGCGAAGGCGCGCGGGGCGAAGGCGCGCGGGGCGAAGGCGCGCGGGGCGAAGGCGGCGCGGGGCGCGGGGCGCGCGGCTCGGGGTCTTACCCAAGTTCGCACTCCGCGCCACGCCCACCCAGGACCCGCCCACCAATGGGCTACCCGGCCTGTTCTGACCACGCCCACCAACTCTGGGCTCGCCCCGCCCCGCCCACTCAGGCATCTCCCTCATCCCAGGCCCCCCTCACTTTATCCTGTTCTGGCCACGCCCACTCGTCTCCTTTGGCCCCGCCCCATCCCTTGGCCCCGCCCGCTGGCTCCAGGCCGGGCAGGAGTGTGAGTTGTGGGGTTCGATCACAATGGCGCAGTGGGAAGTGGGGTGCAGGAGGCCTGGCGGCCACTTAGAACTGCACTGAGTGCCCATCCTACCTCCAGGAGAGGCAGGTGGTGGGGTGAAGGCCCGGCCCTCAGGCCAGGGCTCTGCAAGGAAGCCGGGCTGCAGCAGCTCCGCCAGCCTCTTCCCCACTGGCTCCCAGGGAAGCCCGGCCACGAGGCCTTACCTCTGCTTTCTGGTCCCAGGTAGCCATTAGCCACGGATGATGGGAGATGCCAGGGGTGCTTATAATAAAGATGAGCTCACTGGGTCTCAGAGAGAACAAACTGCAATCAGACTTCCCAACGGACAGGTGCCCAGCCTTGCAGCCACCAAGGTCATAAAGGTCACAAGATGGGTCTGTTGTTGGTTTTTTTTAGTACTGTTCCCACCTAAGGATTAATTGGACTTCATTCCAGCATTAGGTACATCTAAAATAGTTCTAAAACTTACCCACACAGCCCAGCGAATCCACGCCCTGGAGAGTCAAATGAAGTCAATGAGCCTCTGGGACTTCAGGGACAAAAGATGCCCTGTGGGCTGACAAGGGTAGCTTGGCTCCCCCTCCCCCCTGGCATGGCCACCTTGGCATCCAGAGGGGCCCCGGATCCTTTGACCCAGTGTCAATGGTCTTGTGACAGTCCCACCAGACCACGCCAGCCCTGACACCTGGCCATCTTGGCACCTGCCGGTGAGTGAGGCTTTTAGACCCACCCCGGACCCCAATTCATCCTCCTGAAGCTCAGACCCGCATCTGCTCTGGAAACGGCCGCTGGAGACAGACCGAGGTGCCCTCTTCCCGGAGCATCGGGCCGCGTCATCTCCTTTTCCTGCCATCCTCTTTCCTAATCGACTCCAAGGCTACTTTCTCTCCACTCGGAGTCTTGACTGGATTCTTCTTGTGCCTGAAGCAACAATTCAGGTTGATCAGCTGTGTTACAGTTCCAGGAACATCTGGAGGAGAGTTGTTGCAAGAAGGCATGCGTGTCAGCCAGCAAGGGTTAGGGCTAGCCCAGAGGGGGTGGGGGGGGTCTGGCTTCTGCCCTGTACACCCCCCTCATCCCCCTAACTCTTACCCTCCCCCTCCCCGTCACCAGCATCATCTTCCCAACTGTGCTCTAGAGAGGCCCTGACCCTTCCTGACTTCTGGCCTCATCTCCCAACTGTCCAAGCTCCTCACCGGAGTGGAAGAATCCTTTCTCAGAACCCCCTGGGACCCGTCCTCACGCCCAGGTAGAACCCTTGCTGGGCTTGTAATTAAGTGTCACCCAGCTCTGGGGCCCAAAGGCCAGGCTCAGGCCAGGTCATCCACCGACCCAGCACATCCATGAAAGAGCAGATGAAGCTGGGCGCTGTTGCTCACGCCTGTAATCCTAGCAACTAGCAACGAGGCTGAGATCTGAGGATCGCAGTTCAAAGCCAACCTGGGAAGGAAAGTACGTGAGACTCATCTCCAATAAACCACCAGAAAACTGGAAGTGGCGTTGTGGCTCAAGTGGTGGAGCACTCACCTTGAGCTGAAGAGCTGAGAGACAGCAGCACCCAGTCCAGAGTTCAAGCAAGCCCCACAACTGACAAACAAAAAACAAAACAAAAACAGTTGAAGGGAGGAAACGATTCAACAAGTAAAAGGGTTCATCTTCTAGGGGCTGACATGAGCTTTGGATTTCAGGTTATCTTTTTGGGAATACTCGGGTTTGATCTCAGGGCCTTGTACTCCAAAAGCAGGTGCTCTGCCATGTGAGCCACGCCCCTTAGGCCCAGCTTTAGATTTAGAGGAAAAACTGGGGCAGGAGACAAGAACTCTGGGTAATTAAGCAGCCTTGGTCAGGGTGTCATCTGGTTATCACCTCAGGCCTCTTCAGTGCGTGGGAGAGTCTGGTTCCCACAGTGTTTGGGGTGGGGTGTCTCCGTGGGGTCACCTGCTGTAAGACTGAACTGAGCACAGGTGACCGCAGTGTTAGGACAATGACTGGAGGCTTTCAGGTGCCTCTGTGTGTGTGTGTGTGTGTGTGTGTGTGTGTGTGTGTGTCACAGTTTCCTGCCCAGGCTGGCTTCGAACCCTAATCCCCAGATCTCAGCCTCCTGAGTAGCTAGGATGACAGGCGTGAGCCACCGGCTCCCAGCTGAAAAATGAGAATAACTTTCTCCCCTCCGAGGCTGGATGCGGAGGGAAGGGAATCTCCTTGTGAGCCATCGGCGCTCGGTGCTAGCTCTTCTGCCAGATACGCCCGGGTTCACAGCCACCCCGGGAAGGGACCCCTCTGCAGAGCCATGTTAGGGTCCCCTGGCTCCGTGCTGTGGATCTGGGGAGCTGTCCCTGGCCCGTCCCGGAGAAGCAGCCCCCACTGCTCTGAGCCGGCCAGGGGTTTGGACGGACATCTGTTGGAGCTTCTGGAAACCTCTTTCGTCCCTTTCCTCGCTGGCTCTTCTTCTTTGGGGCCCGTGTGAGGATGGGGTGCGGGCAGGGAAGGCGGTGCTCTGAAGCGGGAAGCGGCGGAGCCCCCCCTCAGGCTGCAGATGCGGAAGTGCCACCTGTCTCCCGAGATGCCCAGGTGTGGAAATGTGTCGAAACTCATGAGTCAGGTCTTCGGTTCCACCCAGCTGGAAGGACGCCCCCCACCCCCAGCTGCAACTGTGAGGGACCTGGAAGAGGCAGGGAAGGCGGGGGGCTGGGGGGGACAGGGAGAGCCGTGTGTCCATGAGCAGCTTTGCCAGGGTGAGGGTGAAGGTCAACAGGACATCGGGCTCTGCTTGTGACATCTTGCAGATACACGCGGAAGCGGCAGGAAGCCGTCCGAGCTCAGGGTCCTGAGACCTGGAGGCCTGGAGGGCGGGGCGGGGCCTGCGGGGAGCCAGGGCCCCCAGGCTGACCTCCGGGCCCCAGGGAAGGGCTGGAGCACAGGACCGCAGAGCCACGCTCAGTCCCAGGCCTCTCTACTGGTCCACAGGCCCTGGCAGCGAGCAGCATCTTAGCCCCTGTCTGGCACATGCTGCCCACATGACCTGTGGGTGCTGAGGAAAATTCCTCTGGCGACAAGGGCCAGAGGTGGTGGCATGTCCAGATGTCCACTGTCCAGCAGAAATCCGGCAGCTACATAAGTATCTACCTGCCCAGCTGCCCGGCTGCCCACTCTCCCAGGGCCCTGGGGACAAGGCGGACCGGGCCCCTTCAGGACAGGGGCTCTGTACCCCACACCCTCCTCTCCCTCCCAGGGTCCTGATCTGGTCCACAACTGCATCCTAACGACTATGGAGAAACTGAGTCAGGAGAGGAGACAGGGCGTGCTTCCCTTCTTCCCAGCTCAGCCCCAGCCCTCTGGTGACGTCAGTTCTCAATAATTTTGTAATCTTCGCTCTGATCTTAGCTGCTAACTAAAAAAGAGAGCCGGCAACGTTTCTGTAATGACTTATTTAAATCCCCGAAGGAGCCCTAAGAAAGAGATACAACCATTATCTAATCTGCAGATGTCAAAACCAAGGCCTGTAATTTGGGTCAGAAGTAAGGGGCAGGGCGCTGGGAAGGTGGCTCAGTGGTAGAGCGCTTGCCTTGCATGCACAAGGACCTGGGTTCGATTCCTCAGCACCACATAAAGCAGAAAAAAGCCAGAAGTGCAGTGTGGCTCAAGTGGTAGAGCGCTTGCCTTGCATGCCTGAGGCCCTGGGTTCGATTCCTCAGCACCACATAAGCAAAAAGAAAAAAGCCAGAAGTGGCGCTGTGGCTCAAGTGGTAGAGCGCTAGCCTTGAGCTGAAGAGCTGAGGGACAGCGCCCAGGCCCAGAGTTCAGGCCCCACAGCTGACATAAATAAATAAATTAAAAAAAAAAAGAAGTAAGGGGCAACTTGGTCAAGATAAACATGACCTCATCCTTGCCCGAATTCTCCTGGTTTATCTCATGTTAGAGTCAGGTCCTTCCTGGCATCAGGGTCTGGCTATAACGCTCCATGCACTACTCGAATGGTGTTGTCGTTGGGGAAATATTCAGGAAAAGCCAACAAGGTTACTCTGGGGCAGTCCTGGAGTTTTGATTCAAGATGGCTGCGGTCATGTCAGGCTGAATGCAGGGCCTGTGGCTTAGGCGTCATGTGTTTGCAAAACAGGCTGGAAATTGGGATGTTGAACAAATGGCTGCTGGAATTAAGAAAAGTCACTGGAGTTTGGGGCAGGGATTTACTGAATGACAACAAATCCGCAAGCTAACATGTGTCGGTGGCATTGGCTTGGCAAGCCCGATTGAGGTTACTCGCTGGCCCAGAGCCATGGCAGCACAGGTTCTTTTTCTTTTTTTCTTTTTGCTGGTTGTGGGGCCTGAACTCTGGGCCTGGGCGCTGTCCCTCAGCTCTTCAGCTCAAGGCTAGCGCTCTACCACTTGAGCCACAGCGCCACTTCTGGCTTTTTCTGCTTATGTGGTGCTGAGGACTCGAACCCAGGGCCTTGGGCATGTGAGGCAAGCACTCTACCACTGAGCCACCTTCCCAGCCCAGGCACAGGTTCTTCCATTCCAATCTTAGTTGCTAGTATGAACTGTCAGGCCGCGCATTACCGTCACACAGTATAGCAGTGTCCAGGTTACAGAGTGGGTAAGGAAGGGCTAAGGCACCTGCAGTGTCAGAGCTCTGTGTGTAAGTTACGGGCAGGGAT